ACCAAACTCATTTTGTCCATATCATCAAATAGACCAATACATCAAATGTAAAACCATCAATCTTTGCTTTTAGAAAATTAGAAAATAAAATTAGCACCATCAAAAAAATCAAATACGAAAGCATGTGAGGAAAGCAACTGTTTCTCAAAACTTATGACCATAAAAAGAATTTGTTGTAAATGGACGCATAAAAATGAAATTAAAGCTAATTAGAACAAACAAAGAATGCTTCAAAAAAGAAAACTGGTAATTAGGTTAAATAATTAACAAAAACCTGTAGCAAATAGTCAAACATCAATAAAATATATAAAATAATATATACAAATGATATGACTAAGATACAGAAAGTTCACTGCATATAGCATCAGTATATTGGGAAACGGAGTATGAGCATTGGCAAGTATAAAAGGTAAATAGCATCATCCCAACTTTTGGTGTTGGCTTCATTGCGCCTTTTTGGGCTTGTGTTGCATATTTAGTTAACTTTACATTTTGCAAGTATTTATATACAACGTTTTGCCAAGTTACTTTTCGCCTACCTTTTTTCCTATGGCTTTCCCATTTATTCATAAGCCAACCATATTATATCTTCTACTCTTATATGTGAGTATTTCAACAACAAAGTCTATTTTTTACAATTTATTTATAACAAGGCTACTCCCATCATCAATCTAAAATAATAATTTTCGACTCTACTTTTCCTAATTTCACCCATTCACATTAACATTTACGTCTCTAACACACTCAATTGTTACTGATATCTATGATGCGCAACACTATGATCCACATAGTTAATCTTATAGTCACTTAATAAAACATACCTTTAAGCTCCATCCTAAGTCAGATTTAGGGAGGAATAAGGAGGTATATCCCTCCCCCACTTAAATTTTTAATACATTTTTGTATACAATAAATATTTATTAACAGCCCATGTTATTTGATGTTCACAATGGTACACTTCAATTTATGGCACCTACAAGTAATAAATTAATTTATCTGCCTTAATTAAGAAAATTTGTATGCTCATTGATGCATCGATTGTGTTCTTCCATTGATGTTACTTGTGAGGCATCTCTCAATTAACTTCCCAACCTTCAATTAGATAGTTCACACCCTCCATTACATCCCCAATCCCATAATAATGAACATAAGATACTGAAACATGTCAACATCACCTTAACCTCCAAAATGATTTACTATTAATTATAAATTCAACACCCATGAAAATTACATATTATTTGATACACAAATAGCACGCTCCAGGGTACCTTGATTTCAATATTTTTCATGAGAAACTCCAAAAAATAATATATTAAGATTGATCCTTAATATAGCCTTATTGTAGTTGGTAATATTTTAATTACTCCATAACAACTTCTTATGTTGATCATGGCTCAATCATACAAAAATTTAATAACTTAGTACGCATGTTATACAAATTCTTATCTCTAAACACATCAAATAAATCCTCGTGGTATTTGATCATCCTTTCAAAGTAAACAAAAATATAGAAAGATTTATTGCAAATATACCCATAATTTTTCCACTAACTACTGCAATAGTATAATCACCTCCATATTTTTTCTTACTCATCGTCAATAACTCTCATATAGTTTGAATGAATAACATGAACTTTTAATGCCCATAAAATCACCAAAATGGTAATTGTCCTTTTTATCTCAAAAATTGGAACAAAACTGCTGCTCAAATCATTTGACATCTTACTCTAAGGTCCCACATACTCCAAATCTCAAAAGAAATATTGACAAGAAAAATAATTAATTTTTACTTATATTGTTTAAAGCTAAATAAACATCATTTTCAATATCTTGACAAGAATCTTCGACAACAACTTTTTCCCTTTCTAAAACAATTTTATAGTTTCGCAAAAGAAAATTTTCATTATCTAGAACATCCAATCATCAAGTAAATTGTACTACATTTACTCTTTATGCGCCTAATATAACTAGACATTCATATTGTCTTCATATTGCATGATCTATTTTACAAAACTTGCCCATATAGTTGCATCAAACCTATCATATAAATCATCACAATTTTTAACCTATACCATTCTTTCTTTCCGCATTTACCTCTTGTACCTTTACATCTATTATACTTCAATAAATGTGTTTCCAATCATTCTTTAAAGGACAAGCATATCTAATATAAATTATATAAAATGGGTTACAATCATTTAAGCAAATAAAAAAACCTAGTAAATTAACCTAATTTGGATTAGTTATGTTATTGCTTTTTTTCAAATTTGGTAAAATCAATCTTACTTGAGTCAACCTGAACAATTCATGCTTTTAGAAAAGAACCCTAACTTTATAAAACAGAGATATAATACCAGGAGCAACTTCAAATTTTAGAGAGAGGCTTCATTTTTTAAGAAAACAAAACACAAATAGTCACCCTGCCATATTTCTCATACCGCTAACATATGTTTTAAAAACAAGAAAATGTAATGGAAATAGATCAAAACAAGACAAGCAGTGGTGCTAAGAAGTCACTAGATGCTGAAAAATTTGCTGTTACCATTCCTATTTTTTACTGGTTTTGGGAGCAAGCAAGTAGAAAGGGAGGAGGAAAGTGGCTAGAGAAGGATCAAAGGGAATTAAAAATCTTGCAACAGCGTGCATCATAACAATGAATCTAATTTTGTTATTTCATGGAGGTGTAAATTATACTACTAACCTAAGTTTATAAGACGGTATGCCATATGTGGGGCCAAAAAGACTTGGGCATATTTATAAAAAATGATCTTAATTTGTTAGAATTAGATGAAAATATGATGCTCAATAGGACGCAATGGAGTAAAAGGATTCAGGTAGCCGACCCCACTTGATGGGATAAAAGGCTTGTTGTTGCTTTTTGTATAATATTTTTGTAAAGCTACCAGCCACACTCTAATACTTCCCCATAAACACCAAGATCGACGCAACTGAAGAAGGAGCATTACATAGCTTTCCCATAGTGGGTTGGTGACAACCCGCCAGAGGACAGCCGCATGAGACCCTCCAGTTCAACAAGAGTAAGTGGTTGCCTCCACCGAAGCATAAGAACAAAGTTTGAAGAGAGAACATAAAAATGTATGGAAAATAAGAAAAGAGAGAGTGCTGTTGTTGGAATTTATTTATTCACTCTAAAGATGTTGTAAAAAAAAAAAAGATTAGACAGCGGGAAGATCAGAAAGAACAGCAATTCTCACTCGTATACGTGTAAGGTTGTTTTCTTGTATTGAATTGGTCATATGATTAATTGAAATGCACTAGTACTGCTAAAACTTGGTCGATAGAAACAAAAAGAATGTTTAAGTTGGAACATTTTTTGCTGCTGGCCAGCAAAAATCATTCATTTCTTGCCTTCTTTTCTTTTGATCCACAAGGAATTGTGATACATAGGAAGATATAACAGCTAAGCATTATAAAGAAGTGAACAAGTTTTAATCTAGTATTTTAAAACAAGCAAAGAACCAGGCCCTTCACTCAATAACAAGTTTATCTTTCCTGATTAAACTAAAAACTCAACGCATTAATTTTTTTTTATGGAAATATATTAAAAATGATATCAAAATATACACCTCAAAAAGCAAAAATCGGAAATTCACAAGTAAATGATATTAAAGAAACATAAAAATTCTCAAATAAATTTGACAGTCAATAAGTGCCACCATTTCCATCTTGAATATCTCCAACGCCGCATGCACAAGCAAGAAATGAGGAGTTCATTGCCCTTGTAATGTAATCACTTCACTGATCATTTTCTGAAGATGACACCAAAATAAAAGCAGAACGCAATCTAAAACCATATCTTCCATAATTTTTTGATCTGTTCTTTCAACAACTTCCACCGACGTCACAATCATCAGTCTTATTCCGAGGAAACAGTCAGTTCAACACAAAATTTACAAGAAAGAAAAGATAAATGCTTGATTTGCTAAAATTTTATCATATAGTGAACAAACTTAAAATAATACCGCTATTATGCAACAATTTTCCAAGGCAAACTTAAAATATCCAATAAAACATTACAAAAGGTCTATGGTTCATTGATTCCAGTATATTTCACAAAATATGACAATAAGCACGATCTCGATTTTTTGCACTAAATACCGGTTCATGTGCAATGTTCAAAAATCACAAATGACAAAACAAACACCACCAATCCCTTTAGAGAGAGGGAACCCTGTCATGAGGCTAAATGTATTTCAACATTATTGCGAAATTTAGGACTTATTTGAGATGGTCTATGCCATATGTTTTCATATTTTGTTTTTAAAAACATGTTTTTTTAACACATTTTTAAGTGATTTTATTTTTATTTTGGAAGACAAATCAACTTATTTTTGAAAACGCTCAAAACAACAATCAGATGTTTCAAGTGTTTAAAAACAATAGCCACACCAAACATATATTATTTCAAATAAAAAAAAAACTAAACAAAATGAAAAATAAAAGTGATACCAAATGGCCCCTTATTAAGTTTGAAGTTCTTACCCGACTATCTTGATAAAAGCAAACTGAATAGAATAGATAATCTCAATCATAAAGTATGATCAAACAGAAAATAGATTATTTTCACTGCTGGGATGAAATAAAACTTCTGGCTTTCTTCATGCCAGTGTAGTAACTAAGGAATATGTAGAGACTATGACCTAGAGGTAGTTTTCAACTATAAAACAAATAAAAGAAGATCTTATAAGAAGTGTAGGCAGAATCATTGCATTGGATTTCAAAGTATAGTGCACACCGAAATGCATGTTCATGGAGTTATTAAAAAACAAACTCGACATTAAAAATAAAGGTAAAACAAATTAGAATTATGTATCATACGTTAAACTAATCTATCAAGTCAGGAAAAAACATTACACCTAAAATTATAACATCCAATTTGTATCATCAAAAGAAATGTAAAAATACAAACGATGAACAAGTTGGAAATTGTCAGTCAAAGCATGAGAATCATCAAATTCATAAATATTTAAAATCAGTTACCATACTACGGAAGTAAACTCCTATAAAAGCCAGTTGCTGGAGTCAAAGATGGAGATTGTCCTAATTGAGATCCTCCATAAGATGAAGCAGCACTTTCTTGTGTTCTATAGGTCCCGAATGCATTAGAAACTCCCAACCCAAGTCCAACACCGCCATGAACAAGTCCCCCATAACCCTGAGCCCCATAACCCTGAGCCCCATAACCCTGCACCCCATAGCCCTGTCCTTGAGGTGTAACCAAATTACCAGTGGGATTAAATGCAGCCAACGCAGCAGGATTCAATGCAGCAAGGGAATTCGGATTCAGAGTTGCATTTGTGAAAAGTGGGTTTTGAACGAACAACATGCTGTAAGCTGGATTCTGGCCGAGCATAGCAACGTTCTGTGCTGCCGCCACCCCATTTAGGGCTGGCTGTTGATTTATAACCGGCAGGCTCTGAGGTGCTGGGGGAGTAAAAGGAAATTTTTCCTTCTGAGAACGATCCAGGGCTACCTTACAATTCAGCCGATGCCCCTCAAACATCTTGAACGGCTCCTGCAGAGCCCTGTTTGCTCCATCCTGCGTCTTGTAAACGAAAATAGCAAAACCTCTACACTTCCCAGTGATCGCATCGAAACCAGTAGGGCCGCTCTCTATTTCTCCAAAAGTAGCAAAGAAATCTTTGAGCTTGTCTGGGGACACGTCAGTAGGGACGTTACTCACGTAAATCCTTCTCTGGCCGAAATCTTTCGAGCTGCTTGCACGTGCAACGTAGCTAATTGAGGCAAGGTGACAAGAGGTCATGCGAGTCCCAATCTTCTTCTCGGGCTCTTTAAGCGCCTTCACAGCGCTACTGCGATTGGAGAAGACCACGAAGCCATACCCCTTGTTGCGACCGGAAACCTTGTCAACGACGATTTTGGAGTCAACGATGGAGCCGTAAGGGCGGAAAGCATTGAGAAGAGTTTCCGTTGTAACATCCCAGCCTATGCTGCGTACGAATATCTTGCGGTGGGCAATGTCATTGTCGGCTACCGAGCGAATGTGGGAGAGAAGGCCGGGGTCGTCGGCGGCGGCGTCGGTCAAGAACGTGATCAGTTGGTCCTTGGAGTACGGTTCAAGGAGGCGCTTGAGATCCTCGGTAGAGGGCTGGTCTTCTTCGTCTGTGCCGTGATCACTTTCGAAGAGAATGGGGTCATTTTTTTTTACTGGTTTGGATCGTTTCCGCGGCTGCCGCCTCCTCTTTTGAGGTTTCGCTTGAACGTTGTCTATATTCTGGGAGTTATTGCTAGGGTTGCTTTTCGGTCCCTTCTTCGATTTCACAGCCTGCTTACCCATGACTATGGTTAGGGTTTGCGAAAGCGGAAGAAGAAAGGAAAGGGTGAAATCTCACGAGGATTTTCAAAGGAAAGTTTTATCCAGTTATACTTCTGACCAATTTTAAATTTTCCTTTTTATTGTGGGTTTCAAGCTTAACGAAAATTCAATTGAAAGGCAAATTAAAGTATAACTTTATTTAAATATGAAAAAAATAATATAATTTTAAAAAATAATTATTAAATATAAAATAAATATGTGTTAGCATCATATTTTAAAAATTAATAACAACTAATTTAAACAACTTAAATATGAAATATAAAAATCACATTATAATAATTTAAAAAAAAAAGCTAGGGGCATTTATATGCATATCACCCATGTCTTATGTATGATATATTTATAAAATTTAAAGTTTAGACGTTAGATATGTAAACAAATAACAATTGATATAAATTTATGTACCAACATCAACATTTATCTTTATATATATATATATATATATATATGCAAAGGCGGCTATTAAGCCAACCCGAACCGGACCACCAGCTAGTTTACGATCGAACCTGTTGGTTTTGTCAGATTTCTAAACCATGCATACTACCCAATTTTTATGCATTTCCAATATAAAATCACAAAATTGTATTTATTTCAATCATCTAAAACATTGATATCATATCAAAAATATAGTAATTTTATTTTATTTAACTTGAAAACATTTATTGCATACATAAATAACATAACATTATGTAAAATTAAAATTTAGATGTTAAACGTGTAAGCACATGAATATTGTTGAGAATTTATCTCAAACATTGTTAATCATTTGAAAATTAATTTAAATTTGAGCTCAGATATCGAAATGAGTGGGCCAAATCCTCAGATCGGACATTTTTCGATTTGATTTTCTAGCCTATGTTGGATTGGATCAAGTGGCTCACCATCAGTTCTGAACTTGGTTGATTTATTATGCATATTAGGATCTTACGGTGGATATTCTGCAGGACATGTGAACCTTAGATGATATATGGGGATAACCCTGGGTTAAATCTCGAATCCCATTTCATTCTCCCCTAGTCCCATTCCCTGCTCCAGACCATAAGCTTCCCATTCTTTTCATTTCAAAATCCTTAACTCTAGGTGAGGAATCAAGCCTCTCGCAAACTCACGTGTTTATTATGGTCAAATTGGTGTTGTCGTTGGCTTGTTGTCGAATCTCTTCCTCTCATACCTCACCTTCTTTCCCTCTAATCAGTAATAAGTTTCTTGCTTCGTTCTCTCAATCTCGCATTTTTCATCTCATCGGTGGGATCACTATTTTATTTTCTTGAATCTTTATATGTTTTCTGCTTTGTTTTTATTTTTTTATTGCAGAGTGGTGGGTAGAGGGGTTGTTGGTTGAGCCTTGACCTTAGGGATTCGTAGGTGTTGTCTTGTAGTGTTTTTTAAGACCATTCATAAATATGTTTCTATGTTATGAATTGATCAGTAAGATAATAATACATATCTAAATTCTTACCATTAAACCGCACCAACTTGTGTGATAACTTTGGATGGAGTTCATTGCAATGGCCTATGAATGTTATGAGCCTAATCTTTTGGTTTCAAACAAACATGAGATGAAAAAAATGAGAGAATTAACCTATATAAAATATATATAATGGTGGATTTGAAGAGTTTTTGAAATGTGTGGTCAGTGAGATAAAGTGGAGTTGCATTATATTGGATGGAGTTGTGTCGTTATAATGCTAAATGACTGTTTTCTATTTTGTGCTTTTCTATTTTATATGCACCCAGTACAAATCTCAAAGCAATCAAGCTGCTCAGGATGATGATCGGACAATCGAGGCATTAGGCAACAAAAATATGATCTCAGTCGATCATTCAACAACCGACAACCTGTTAGAAGTGGACCAACAAAGTATAATGAGGGACTCAATTAACAGACCACGCCTACAGTCCTGGACCGTCTTAGACTTCTCACAAGTGGCGCCCAACGACAACCCACTGTCCGACCAACTTCTTACTTCGACAGGCTCGATCGCCACTCAATCGGTCATGCTTGGTCGCCTCGGCCTTAACATCGTACTCAAGTATGTCACCCTTTTGGTTACCATTACATTTGAATCCAAATTGTAATATAGATTTGATAGTAAATCATCACAATTAAATTGTATTAAAGACGATTTCCCTAAGTGTTTTATTTTTTTTATATTTGTACAAATATGGCTCTATAAATAGAGGGCAAAGGGGCGAATAAAATGTTCTATCCCCATTTTCTCGACAAGAACTTTTCTCGATAACTCTTTCTCATCCTCTTTCGCTCGGCTCTAACCCTTTGGTCATGTTTTCACAAAAGCACAATTTCGAATTCAACATCTTGAAAGGTGGTGGAGTGAGTATGTACATGCCTTAGACTTGAAGCAGAGCAAACTACAAAAGAGAATCCTCGCGACACATGGAATTCAACAGAGAAATGGTGCATTGGGATATACAAGAAGACCTACAGGCCTTGCGAGCACAAATTATTGACCGATTCAAGGCTCCCCAAGCCGACTTAAACTAGAAGAACGTATAACCGCCACCCTTGGAGGGAGAATTTCGAGAAGCTCATCTCGAGATAGCCCCCGCAGCCCGACGGTGCCCAGGGTACAAGCCGGTGACTTACCGACTGAATGGCAAGAAGACACCTCGTGCACTTACGACGCAAGATCCACGCCAATCACTAAACAACTGTGTCCTTTCGAGGGAGAGCCCCTATCAGGTTGATCGAGGGTAATGCTTTATGCCAGAAAATTATAGAGGTTGTCCCCCCAACGAAGCTGAGAATTCCTCACTTCGACTCCTATAAGGGACTCCTATAAGGGAAAGAGTGACCTGTCTGACCACCTCGCTTTCTTTGGGTTGTCGGTTGGGGCCTTACAGGTCAACGAAGCCATCAAGTGTCGGCTTTTTCTAACGACTCTGAAAGAAGTCGCACTCTGATGGCTCAATAGCCTGTCAAATGGCATCATCTTGTCCTTTGAATTCTGTAAACTCTTCTTTTAGCATGTTACCAATGCACAGAAATCGAGAAAGGACATGAAGACCTTGCTTCAAGTCAAGCAGCGAGAAAACGAAAGCATACATACTCACATTACCCACTTCCAAAAGGAAATGCTGGAGGTGAAAAACTTGGAACCACTCATCACCCGGATCGCCCTAAAACAAGGGATCCACAACAAGCAATTTAACTATTAATTGAACATACTCAGGCCAAGGACCCTCGTGGAGGTCCTAAAATTGACCAAAGACCACATCTCTGCCAAGGAGGACCTCATGGAATCTCTAGAAATCAAACTGGGTATGTCTAACCACCGGTCGCAAAAATGAAAATGTTAGGATGATGACATAAAGCTAAAAAATGATAGAGCCCCTGATGGCCTACAAATTGACAATCTTAAACCCCGGGAAGGTCGGGGGAATAATCGAGCCAGCAAGGGACAGTCATACCGTCATGATCAACATTTGGCTCGATACTATGAGCGACCACACATGTATTGTAAGATGCAAGGGTTAACTCCTCTGAATGTGTCTATGGTGGAGTTAGTTCAGGTCAATCAAAATAAATACTACTTTAAGAAGGCCCATTTGCTGAAAAATGCATCTGCACTGTGCAATACTAACAATATTGTGTCTACCATCGGGACCGCGGACACAACACGGAGGAATGTCGCCACCTCCAGAACTTGGTGGAAGAATTCATCAGGGCCAACATACTGAAATAACTTGTTGCAAGTGGAGCACACACAAAATGGCAAGGCAAGGCCCTAACAGAGGAGCCTATGGATGGACCCATTCGAGCAAATGAGATCCATTTGGCTAGAATTATCCTGACCATTTTTGGAGGAGGTGGATGATTACCCAGACAGTCCAACCCAAAGAAGCTTAGGTCAGATGGGTATATTTCGTCACCCCTTACACTCGAACTCGCCCTCCAATTGTTTTCATTGATGCAAATCTGTCATCGAAGGGGAACCCGTACAACCAAGAAATCGTTGTTACGACGCTCATTAATAATTACCATCATTAATAATTACCAGCTGGGCATCATCCTAATCGACATCGGCAGCTTGATGAATATCCTACTCAAAAGGATGTACTTTTTTATAATCAAAAGGGAAAGGATGTTGAAGTCTACATGGATGCTGTCATTATGAAAAGCAAGTAGGCTAAACAAAACATAAAAAAATCTTACATAAACTTTTGAAACTTTTAAAAGAATTGGATATGAGGTTAAATCCTACAAATGCACCTTCGGAGTGTCAACTGACAAATTATTGGGCTATATTTTAACTATCAAAGAACTGAAACCCAATCTGAAAAATGTGCATATAATCTTGGATATGTCATCCCCTCAAATCACAAGGGAAATATAAAGACCGACTGATCAAATTGCAGGACTTAGTCATTTTATTACGAAGTTGGGTAATAAGTGTGCAACATTCTTCAAGGTACTTAGAAAAAATCAACGTTTTGAATGGACCACTAAGTGTGAAAAAGCATTTAAAGGTCGGAAGAATTCATTGGCAATGCACCCGTTACTCCAAAGCCCAAAGCCAGCGGAGGAACTATCGTCATACTATGGAGTCAGACAATAAGTTGTTAGCTGGGTTCTGGTCAGAGAAGTGGTGGAAAATAATTCTCAGTGAAAATAATTCTCAGTCTATTACACGAGTCGAATACTTCAAGGCATTGAAATCAAGTACCCTATTATGGAGAAACTAACATTTGCCTTGATTAATTCTATGCGTAGGCTATGACTATATTTCCAAATGAATCTGATTCGAGCATCACGATTCACCCTCTGAAATTCATGCTCATGAAACCAAAATACTCAGGACGACTGTTGCAGTCGGCAATAGAACTTAACGAATACGACATGACTTATATTCCCCAAACAACCATTAAGGCCCAAGAGATTACTAATGGTGGATTTCTCCATGGCGGAAGTACCAAATGAAAAGTTTCCTGGCAATAGGACATGGGTCTTATACATTAACGGGCATCCAAGCAGACGACCACCGCCCCGGTACTAACCTTAAGCAGCCCAACTAGGGAGCACCTCTATTAGACGGTTTTGG